GGCTAAAACACGGCTCAGGATAATACTTCACCCTGGAGGGGCGCCTGGGTGGCTCAGTCCTTAAGCGTCTGCCTTCCGCTCAGGTCATGATCCCAGGGTCCTGGGATCGAGCCCCGCATCGGGCTCCCTGCTCGGCGGGAAGCCTGCTCCTCCCTCTCCCACTCCCCCTGCTTGTGTTCCCTCTCTCACTGTGTGTGTCTCTCTCTCTGTCAAATAAATAAATAAATCTTTAAAAAAAATATTTCCCCTAGAAGCCTTTCCTGACTTCTCCTGATCTGCTAGCTAGAGGAAGTGCTGCTACTGATAATTTGCATATTCCTATCATAACATTTCAACAAGCCCTCCACTTTTCAAGGATATGTGAGTATCTCTTCTTTACAGGTCAAAGCATAGTCCATGGAAAATTGCCCTTTACACCCATTTCCTCTTTAACCGGATATTATTACTTGTTTTTTGGTAACTTTAGAAAGTCTAACACAATATATCTGCCTTCTGTAACTTCACAAATACTTTTTAAAAATATTTTATTTATTTATTTTAGAGAGAGAGTGAGAGCATGAGCAGGGAGAGGGGCAGAGGCAGAGACTCTCAAGCAGACTCCTCATCGAGCATGGAGCCCACTGCAGGGCTCGATCTCATGACCCTGAGATCTTGACCTGAGTCGAAACCAAGAATTGGACGCTCAACTGACTGAACCACCCAGGCGTCCCTACGCAAATATTTTAATAATACCAAGTGGCAGCAGTTTTAATTCACATAAAGTATGAATCTTGATAACAAGGTAGCCTACATTGGAGCTCTAGGCAGTAATGTAGGGAAAAGCTGTTTCATATCTGGCTGTTTAAAATTATTTTGCTACATTTTAAAGATACACTGTGACTTAAAAACAAAACAAAACAACCAAACACTAGTGAACATTATGTGTCTATCTTGCCCATTTAAAGGTGAATTAAGGGGTAACTGGGTGGCTCAGTCGGTTAAGTGTCTGCCTTCGGCTCAGGTCATGATCCCTGGAATGTCCTGGAATGATGAAGCAGGAACTGAAGCTACATGGCTGAATATCTGGGATACTAGATATTCATCAGGATATTGCTTTAAATCCAGCAGTTCTGATGACAGCTCAGGTGCGTGATAAGAATTCCAATAATTTGGGACGCCTCGGTGGCTCAGTTGGTTAAGCATCTGCCTTTGGCTCAGGTCATGATCCTGGGGTCCTGGGATCAAGTCCTGCATCAAGCTCCTTGCTCAGTGGGGAGCCTGCTTCTTCCTCTGCCTGCCACTCCCCCTGCTTGTGCACTTGCTCTCTCCCTCTCAAGTAAATAAAATCTTAAAAAAAAAAAAAAAGAGGGGTGCCTGGGTGGCTCAGTTGGTTAAGCGGCTGCCTTCGGCTCAGGTCATGATTCCGGGGTCCTGGGATCGAGCCCCGCATCGGGCTCCCTGCTCCGCAGGAAGCCTGCTTCTTCCTCTCCCACTCCCCCTGCTTGTGTTCCCTCTCTCGCTGTGTCTCTCTCTGTCAAATAAATAAAATCTTAAAAAAAAAAAAAGAATTTCAATAATTTCCTCCTTCCAATCTAGGGAACAAAGGTGCCTATTCTAGTGACCTTCTGTTTTTGATATGATTCACCCACATTATCACCCATCAGTGCATTTCTCTTTTGCTGTCAATTAATTGAATCCTCTACATCTCTGGTTTAAATCCTTGACAGGATCTGCATGGGCCAACTAAACAATGTTTTTCTCACAGGTCCCATGCTATATTGCTGACCAGATGTGGCCATAGGAATAGGGTCAGAACACACATAATGTGGTCACCAGCATCTAAATTAATTATCTACAGTCACTTTCCTCAGCAAGGGCCTATGAGAAAAAACTCCTCAGAAGTGGGACGCCTGTTATTGCAGGTGAATGGCTTGACCTATCTCTATAAGTAACATACAAGTGTATTGTTTAGGACTCTTTCTGTTGAAAGGATAGAAAACTCAATTCAAACTGATTTAGGAAAAGTAATATATTTGCTTACATATTGAGAAGTCTAGAAACATAATGACTTTAAGAATGGCCAAATCTTGGGATGCCCGGGTGGCTCAGTTGGTTAAGCCTCCAGCTCTTGGTTTTGGCATAAGTCATGATCTCATGGATCATTAGATAGAGCTCCCGGTGGATTGGGCTATGCACTCAGCAGGGAGTAGTTAGCTTGAAGATTCTCTCCCTCAGCCCCTCCCCCATTCATGATTGTGCATGTGCTCTTGCTCTCTGTAAATCTTTTAAAAAATTTATTATTTATTATTTTTTAATTTTATTTTTATTAATTTTATTTTTTTTAAAGGATTTTATTTATTTGACAGAGAGAGTGAGAAAGCATAAGCAGGGGGAACAGTAGAGGGAGAAGGAGATGCAGGTTCCTTGCCGAGCAGGGCCCCCGCAATGTGGGGCTTGAGCTGAAGGTCCTGGGATCAGGACCTGAGCCCAAAGCAGATGACTAACCATCTGAGCCACCCAGGTGCCCCTGTAAATCTTAAAAAAAAAAAAAGGCTGAATCTATGTTCTCAAATGATATTGTCAAAAAATCTCTCAACTTCTCTTAGCTTTCTTCTGTGATTGTTTCATTCTTATCCCCAGTAGTTCTAAGTTTAAATCCTTCCAGATAAGAATCCCCTCCCTCAACCCCTTTTAGCATTATTCTTGCTAGGTGAAGCAGCAATAGTGTAATGGTTGAGACCATGGAATCAGGAACCAAATTGGCTCCAACACTACTGTTCTTATAACTTTGGGCAATTTATTCAACCTTTCTAAGTCTTAGTTTCTTCATCTGTACCACAATTGTTCCTACTTTGGTGGATTGCAGTGAGGTTTAAAGTCGCTGATATTTGCAAGATACTTAAAATAGTGCCTGGTACAACATAAGTACTCAATTACCGGGCTCTGCTTGGGTTATAACTTTATCCCTGTGTCCTAAAGTGTCTGGCTAGGGTTAGGAGTTTACATCCAAACTACAAAGATCTAGAGTAGTGGAAAGATGGTTTCTTTTAAGAAATTTGGAGTGCCATTACCAGCAGGGGAATGGATGTCGGGTCAATGTAAGCAACAAAAAAGTTAGCAAACTTACTTAAGACAACTCTCTCTTTAAGGCTTTACTATAAAAGTAATACATGAATTTGTATATATATATATTTTTTAAGATTTTATTTCTTTATTTGACAGAGAGAGACACAGCGAGGGAGGAAACACAAGCAGGGGGAGTGGGAGAGGGAGGAGCAGGCTTCCCGCAGAGCAGGGAGCTGGATGCAGGGCTCAATCCCAGGACCCTGGGATCATGACCTGAGCAGAAGGCAGATGCTTAACCGACAGAGCCACCCAAGCACCCCTGTATATAATGTTTCTAACAAAGCAAAGGGATACAGAGTAATCTGAAAGGATTTCTGTTCATGCCTGTAGTTGTAAAAAAAAAGGCATAATCTGTTTTAAGATTTTATTTATGTATTTAACAGAGAGCAAGAGAGAGCACAAGCAGGGGTAGAGGCAGAGGGAGAAGCAGGCTCCCCACTGAGCAGGGAGCCAGATGCAGGGCTGATCCCAGGATCCTGGGATCATAACCTGAACAGAAGGCAGATGCTTAACCGACAGAGCCACCCAAGCACCCCCAAATCTGTTATTTGCAAAATGTAACTAGCGTTTGACTAGCGCTTTACTGAACAAAATACTTTCACATGCATTAGTTAATTTAATTCTTGCAATAGCTCTGGGGAATAGATATTATTAGCTCTACTTAATGGTAAGGAAACCTAATAAATACAGGTGGATGTAAATTTTAGAAATGATAGTAATGTTATAGCCTTTCCCATTAGTCTCCCACTGCACTTTATGTTGTTGGTACTCACATATAATTTCTTTCATTCAACAATTATTTATTGAGCATTTGCTATGTACCGGGCCTTGTCCTAGCCACTGGGATAGGGCAGTGAGCAAGAGACAATTCCTGATCTCCTTACATTTACATTCTAGTGGGGTAGGGAAAGACAAACCATAAAATAAATAAGAAAAATATATAGTACCGTAAGCCGTGATAAGTGCTATAGAGTAAAATTCAATAGGAAAAGCATATAAGGAAAGGCAGTACGTTTCAATTTTATACACAGTGGTCAGTTTGTCATCTGTTCCGCGTTGTTTGCAGCTCTTCCCAAACAGCGGTAAAATCTCACTTGCATTTACCTTCATACTTCCAGCACTTAGCACCAGGCACTCAGGGAGGCAATAAATTTATATTGAATGATATGCCTTTTGAGAAGCCAGAGTTAGGAAACAAAGGCCTGTGAAAAGATACTGCTTTTGTTCATAATTTGAACATAAATGTTCATAAATTGAAGAATCATTTATGGTTAGCTTCATTAGTTTATTTCTAATAACCTAGTTTTATTTCCGTTAATCTAGTAAGTGAAGTTCTTTTCAGCACCTTTACATTACAGAATGAAAGTTATGTTAAAAGCTCTTACAGGCCGTTTTAGGTATTTCAAGTACCTTTAGCTACCTCTTTGGCCCTACTAGCGCGGCCAAAGGGTGTGCGCGTGCACTTGAAACCACCACGCCCTTTGCCAGTTATTTCTCGGTATCAAGAGTAGCCGTTTTCCAGGGAAAGGTAAGCACTCCCAGTTTCCACTGAGGTGCTAGGTGAGGCCCGATTTGCAGTACACCGAACCTCAATGAGCCACAGGGCAAAGTTAGAAGCGCCAAAACACAAACTAAAAAAGAAATTCTCTTAACAGCCTTCGCCCCCTACGCACCAGAACCTTGACCTCAAGATGGCGTCTCCTAGTCATAAGATTCAATCGGCTCCAATCAAATATGGCAGGGTGGGTCGTAATTTACAGCTCGAGCCTTTCTAGTCCCCACCAGGCGCTCCTTCTCTATGGTTATTCGCCGCTGCGTGGTGATTCAGAGCCAAAAGAGAAGACTATCTATACGCGTTCTTCTCTATGATTCTCCTCTTCACTCTCCCCGGCCGCAGTGCACGACGGGCAAGAGGAAGACCTCCAGAAGCTCCCCGCGCAGCGCGGCTGTGTTTGCGGCCTGTGCGAGTAGGCGCTTCGGCCCCAGTCTCCCGGCGAGCTGCGCGGAGAAACCTCGAACGGGTGGACCCTACTCGTAGCCTGGAGCTCGGAACACCGCGAAGACCGTACTGTTTCCTCAGCGGCGGGTGAGTTCACGCTTCTGAACGCGTGTGGGAACCGGGAAACCGGGTACCTCGGTTGCGGGAGGAGGGGAAGCCAGGGAGGCTGCGAAAGGGCCGGGGTGGGATTGGGGGTAAAGGGGGGTTGGAGTGGGGGAGGGGACGGGCACGAGGCTTGGGTTTCTCCACTTTTCAAAGGCCTCGAAAACCAGTGGGCCCAGCAGGAGCCCGTGGAGGCCGGACCTACTGCCAGAGCTTTCCTCCTTGCATTGTCGCCCACTTTCCTTTTCCTTTCCACGGTCCGCCACAGAGTGAATCGCCTCGGACCCTTTGGGCTCCACGTTTGCCAAAAAAATGATCGGTCGGCCCCTTGGGAGCCCTTCTCTGAGGCCCCTTTCTAACCCGAGCTTGTGGAGCCCTACTGTAGATTTTCCGGGCCTAGGACACTTTTGCCCCAGGCTCTGCTTGCAAGCTAACAAGCACCCACCCTTTTTAGCGAGGTGCTGGCCACCAACGGATTTCTTTCTTTTCCTCTTTGGGCATTCAGAACCCGCCACCGAGTAGACTCCCCCACTCCCCCAACCCGAATTCAACTACTGCCCACCTTTTTTAGCAACCCCCCTGGTTCTCTTGTTTAAGATTGTGATTATTGTGGTCCTGCCCCCTTCCTCCATTGGAGGTTGCAGTAAATTTTATCCCCATTCATTCTAGGCGATGACCAAGCTCCACATTAAAATGTGTTATTTCTTTCTTTCTTTTCTTTGGTCTTCAGTACTTTTTTAAATACGTTTTTCTAAGTAGATCTAGGAATATGAAGATTATTTTGAAGTTATGTAATGTGGATTTATATTGCCATGGAAAAGCCATTTTGATACTGGACAGAGTGGAACAGACCGAAAGGAAGGAAGAGATTGGACTTCTGTTGTACCAGGCTGCTATAGTATGAAGTACCCTGAATTAGGTAGTTGGCAGTAGAATATAAACAATTTTTATGTTGTGTTGGGAACTTTAATTTTTAAAAGATTTCCAGAAACCTTCAGAAAGGCATCCGGTTGATCATCTGTTCCTCATGATTCAAGCAGATAGTATACTGTTCTAATTAACTGTTCTTGAAGTCTTGGTTTTCTTCATCTGTAAATTGAGGATTAGAATAGTATCCACTTCATAGGTTATTGTGATTGGGGATTGAGAAAAACGTATGTAAAATCCTTAGTGCAATGTCTAAGTAACATAGTGTTTAGTCCAAGTTAACTGATATTGTTATTTAAGAGCCTAATCCCGACTCTTAACATTTCTTCTAGTGTACTCTGAATAGACTTTTATAAATAAAATCAAAGTTAACCCTTAATCAGGAGTTTCTTCTTGGTATGTTGTTACTAGAAAGAGGCATTGTGATACAGTGAAAACAGCCTTTGGATTGGTAATTTCAGGATAGTGGGGATGACTTTGGGGTTCCTACCCACTTATTGTGGGAACCCAGTTATTCCCTTGGACAGGTTAGCTTCTTCATCTGTAAAAGGAGAATAATATATCTACACCAGGTAATTTGGGAGATTCAGTGAGATAATGTATGTTGAAGACTTTTGTAAACAAATAAAATGTTAATATTTTTAAATAATTTATCTTCTTGGGGCATCTGGGTGGCTCAGTCAGTTAAGTGTCCAACTCTTTATTTTTTATTTTATTTTTTATTTTTGTCCAACTCTTTTTTTTTTAAGATTTATTTATTTATTTGAGAGAGAGAGAGAAAAACTCTCAAGCAGACTCCCTGCTGAGCGTGGAGCCCGCCATGTGATTCAGTCTCAAGACACTGAGATCATGACCTGAGCTGAAATCAAGAGTCAGACATTTATCCAACTGAGCCACCCAGGCGCCCTGAGCGTCCAACTCTTGATCTCAGCTCAGGTCTTGATCTCAGGGTTGTGAGTTAAAGCCCTGTGTTGGGCTCCACGCTGGGTGTGGAGTCTACTTAAAAAAAAAAAAAATCTCCTTGGGGTTATCAAATTTCCATTTGGGATACCCAAAGTAGGTTTTTCCCTTATTTATTTATTTAGGTATGGTTCCAAACCACTTGTGGGAAGAAACTGTTTTTATTGTTCCAGTGTTGCAAATAGGCCCCATATATATTTATAATAGTTTGGGCTAAGTGTTTTTATTTTGTGGTTTGGTATCTTTTTATTCCACTGTGGTAAAGCTTTTAAATATGTTTCTAAAATAAAATGAGTTCATTTTAACATTGGTAACTACTTCAGACCTAATATGAGCTTTGGGATTTTCAAGTAACTTTTTGGGCCACAAATTAGCTATGTACTTTCTCATTTATGTATGGTTTAAAGAAAAATTATATTGACTATTTTGTAACTTTGGAAGCAGAAGTAGTCATTGAGTCTTTTAATGTCTTACAAAAATAATCTATGTATTTTGTTTAATCTTGATAGTCTTTTCTGACAACTACCACTGCCATTCCTAAAAGGATTTCGATTGACTCCGCCTTAAAGTTTTTGAATAGCTTTTTTCCTGCCCTTTTTTTTTTTTTAAAGATTTTATTTATTTATTTGAGAGAGAGAGAATGAGAGATAGACAGCACGAGAGGGAAGAGGGTCAGAGGGAGAAGCAGACTCCCTGCTGAGCAGGGAGCCCGATGTGGGACTCGATCCCAGGACTCCAGGATCATGACCTGAGCCGAAGGCAGTCGCTTAACCAACTGAGCCACCCAGGCGCCCCTGATACTACTTTTTAAAACTTATTTGGTACGATTTCAGACTTCAAAAAAGTTTCAAGAATAGTAGAAAGAATTCTCAAATACCTTTCACCCATATTCCCCAAATGATAACATTTCACAAATTTCCTTTATCCTCTCCTCTTTTTCTTCATACTTTTCTTCTGAAGTGTTTTGCTAGTAAGCTGCAGATGAGACATCCCTTAGCCCTTAAACCTCAGTGTATATTTCCTAGAATAAAGACATTTTCATATTTAACAGCAGTACAGTGAACAAAATCAGGAAATTAATATTGATGCAGTATTGTCTAATCTACAGGTCTTAATTGGATTTAGCCTGAAATTGCCCCAAATTGGTATTGCTTTTTTTAAAAGCAACTTTATTAAGGTGTAATTAACACATAAAATACACTCTGTAATGTGTAATTTGATGATTTTTTAGTAAATGTTCAGAGTTGTGCAACTGTTACTCCAAAAAGGATTCCTCTTTCCTGTTTGCACGTCACTCCCTGTTCCCACCTCAGCTCCAGACTACCACTAATTTTTCTCTGTAGATAGTATTGCTTTCTAATCATCGAAGATGGTAAAACAGCTAAGTGGAAATCTCAGAAAAAGATCAGCTCCCCTTTGGGAGACTTGAGTATTTTCACACCTCTGAAAAGTTTTCCTGCAAAAGAAACTTTTTGTTAATAAAGCATTTCCCATTCTTTGGACATGGAACACTTTTTCTTAGGAATAGTTCCCGAAGACTCCACTTCTGTAGAAATTCAGTTTGAGAAATGATGTTTTGAAGGTTTTGTTTTGCTTAGGCTGGGGCAGGTATGTCAGTCCATTATACCCTGCAGGCTATAAACTGCAGGGAACAATGCCTTCTATAGTCATATCATATATATTCAGTTTAGAGCCACTGGGCTGGCTGTGTAACTATATAATAACTTAAAATTTGCTCTTTCAGAGCTAATAAAACTAACGCTTAGAAAAGAACCTGACAGACAATTGGAGCTAGATATTTGTTGAATGAATGAATGAGTTGTATAAGTGTTTACTAAGGAGAATCTGTTGATTCATTTGCCTCTTAACCATTCAGAAATTGGGCTGGCACACAGTGTCCCTATGGGGTTAGCCAGTATATCTATTCCTGGTGAAATAATTTGTTTTCTATTGGGATAAATCTGCAATGGAGGAATGATTGTAAGCAGTAAATGGTGTAGGAAAAAAGGAGTGATTTAAAAGTGTAAAGAGGAAAAAGAGAAAAGCAGAATGCATGCATATTTTGAGTGGTAAATCTTATTTGAAAGTTGTTTTTTGTTTTTTTTTTAAGTTTTGGATGGAGGAGATGAGATTAGTTGAGAAAATTTGCATGCACTATAATGCACCCATTTTAATTTCAGTTAATTCTGACAAATGCATAATAAACCCATATGACCACTGCCAGACTAGAGATAAGGAACACTTGCATCATAGGTACTTGTTTCTGTTACTTTGGGTCTTAAGGTTTCATACCTAGCACGTAAAAATGCTTTGAGCCCCTTCTAAAAGTGAAACACTCCAAAGTGAAAGTGAAAAATCCAAATATTTTTAAATGTCATTTAAGTCATTTCAGTGCCAATAAAATAACCTTTGCATTTCTTTTCTTAAACCTCACACATGATCCCTCAGTAGCAATGGCTATCTTCAGAGTACTGCATCCAGAATCTAACACTTAACCACTGCCACCTATTCCAGGCCACCCTCTCTCGTCTGCATTATTGCAGTACTCCTGCTTCTACCCTTGTTCTCCAGTTTTAACACAGTGGCCAGTGACACTATTAAAATATAAGTCAGGTCAAAAGTCTTTCAAATGTTTTCTGTCTCATTCAGAATAAAAATCAAAACCTTCACAGTGGCCTACAAAGTACTACATTCTCTGAATCCCCTCCCCGAAGTAATACTTGGCATTTGTCTTTGACTTTCCTCAAGTACTCTGCTCCAGCTGTTGGCCTTGCTTTCCTCCCACAAACACTCCATGCCCACCTCAGGCTCTTTGTATTTGCTGTTTCCTTTGCTTGCAAGGCTATTACCTTCAGATACAAGGCTTCTGCCTAGGCCCCTTGGAGTCTGTTCCATTTGCCTATCTTCTTGGTGAGGCCTGACCACCGTATTTAAGTAAAGCACTCCCTAGTTCTTTTCCCTACTTTATTCTGCAAAGTACCCACCAAATTTGAATCTCTATATAATTTTTTTAAAGATTTTATTTAATAAAATTTAATAAAAAACAGCGAGATCAGGAACACAAGCAGTGGGAGAGGGAGAAGTAGACTTCCCGCGGAGCAGGGAGGCCAATGCGATGCGGGGCTCAATCCCAGGACCCTGGGATCATGACCCGAGCCGAAGGCAGACGCTTAACGACTGAGCCACCCAGGTGCCCTGAATCTCTATATAATTTGTAATGAGAGTATTTTAATTTATCAATTGTAGGTAAAAACTGATAAACTTTGCTTATGGTTATAAAAGTTTATTCTCATTTTCACATATGTCAAAACAAAAGTTCATTTTGCAAAAAGTGGTTGATACTCTCATTATAGGATGTTTAAAGTAAACATTAATATTTATCAGTGATTACCAGAATTGTAGTTTTCTGACCATAGGAGGGACCATTATCTTATTAAGATTACCTTCACCTATGAAGCTTGCCTGTGAATAAGCTAGTTATGAACAGTGCTAAATGAAAGGGACATAGAAAATAGAAAAATTAGAAGTGAATGTAATGGATATATTGGCATAAACTAAAGCATAATCTGGTTAACTTATACGTAATGAATTATACATTTAAAAGTCATGAAATATAATTTAAACACCAAGAACATAGGTCTTTAAAAAACAATAGTTATAACTAATACTTGACAATAAATAATTCTAGAGATGAATTCGTGCTCCAGTCTTTATAAACATTGTGAAGCTAGGCACTGGGTCATTGCTAGCATAGTACTTGGCACATGGGAGCTTCTTAATAAATTGGTTTACTGATTCATTCATTTATTTATTTATTCAACAGGTATTAATATCAGCTGCTCTCCTAAGAAAGTGCTGAGATAGAGTATTATAATAATAGAAGAGTTTCTGTAAGTAGGACAGTAGCCCTCTTTTAAAAGGAGTTACACTCCTGCCCCCTTTATATAGAATATTTGTTTTTGTTTTTGGGCAAAAAATATTACAGAAAGATTATTTAAAAATTCAGCACATTTACAGTCATTAATTAATTGTATTTTCCTTTTTAATTTATGCTGATACTTAATATTTTAAAGCATTTCCAATACTTTATTTTCTAAGTGTATGAAATCCTAGGAATTTATTTTATTTGTAAAGCTTTCTAAGTATTTTAAGTGTATTGTGTTTTCTGAAAATGAAGTTTAGATTTTATAGAATATTGTATTATCCTAATTTATTAAGTCAAAAGAACACTGAGGAAGAACAGCTGTGAGTCTGAAGGGCATGCTTTTCTAAGATCGTTCTAAAGAAATGTCTAACAGGTAAAAAGATACTGAGCCTCATTAGTGATTAAGGAAATGCACATTGAAATGAGAGTATTTTTTACCTATTAGATTGTTATAATTTAAACACTGATTTACTCTAGCAATGGTGAGGATCTGAGCAAAGGGCATTCCCGTATATTGGTGGTGGGGATATAGATTTGTACACTAGCTTTGGAGAATGATTTGGAGGTAAAGTTAGATACATGTAGTACTAATCTGTGTAACAGAATTACTTGCACAGGTGCATAGATTTATATGTCCAAGAATGTTCAGAATTATAAGAGGCAAAATATGGAGCCAACCATCCGTGTTGATTGAATAATTATTATATGCCTGTATTATAGTAGTTTACTGCATTATAAAGATTGGAATACAACTTAACTGATATGAAGAGATGTTAATGATAATGAAGGAGAAATGCACCTAACAATATAGTATGATTATATTGTTTGCAGAAAAACACAAATAATTATATATTAGTTTGTGTATAGAAAGGTATTTAGAAGAATACAACGATATATATCAAACTGTTGGGATTAGGGGGCAAGGAAGTGGAAGACATGCACTTTTTATCTTCTCTCTTCTGAAGGGTGAGTAAATCAATGTATGGAACACAAAAAATAGTAGAGACAGATGTTCTTTTAAAGCTTCAAACAACTCTAGACTCCTTCAGTTACAGAGTATAGGGGGAGTTTTTCCTAGTGTCTGGCAGATATATCTCCTGTTGATCAAATCACTACTATTTAGTGCCATCACTGGTATGAGATCACTTATTTTGGCTGCTTTTTTAAATTGGTGCATGGAATCTTCCCAGGACATCCTAACATAGTTTTTCTACTTCTTCTAATAGTTCTGGACACTCAAGTATGTTGATGAAAATATAAAATTTTTGGTAGGGGAGTCTTAAATATTTATATTCATTTAACTAAAGGACAAAATTAAGTTTCATTTATTTGAGAGAGAGAGCGAGCATGAGAGGGGGGAGGGTCAGAGGGAGAAGCAGGGAGCCTGATGCGGGACTCGATCCTGGGACTCTGGGATTATGACCTGAGCCAAAGGCAGTCGCTTAACCAACTGAGCCACCCAGGTGCCCCAAAATTAAATTTCTTTTAAGTAATAATACCACAAACCAAATGAAACAGTTCAATGTATTCTTGTATTAAAAAAAATGTTAGTTTCTGATTCTTGAATTTCATTCATGAATGGTTAAGGGGTTTCCTTTTTTTTTTAGATTTTTATTTATTTGACAGAGAGAGACAGAGAGGGAACACAAGCAGGGGGAGTGGGAGAGGGAGAAGCAGTCTTCCCTCAGAGCGGGGAGCCCGATGCGGGACTCTATCCCAGGACCCTGGGATGACCTGAGCCGAAGGCAGATGCTCAACGACTGAGCCATCCAGGCGCCCCTAGGGGTTTGCTTTTAAGTTTAACAAAAATTAGGAAATTTTCCCATTGTCACAAATTGTATTTTCTTTTTATATCTGAGTGGTTAGTGTGTGACCTGATGTCAGGAGGTTTCTTCCCTCTCAGGGTTATAGTTCACTGAGACATTCATTTGTCCTTGAGGAACTGGCCAACATTGAATCAACAAATACTGTGTAACTTTGTACATTTAGTTTTCAGCGTGCTGATGTGTGTAAAAAAATGAATGCATCAGAACATTTAAAGAAAAATGTTAGATAATCTTCCTGGATTCTGAGTTTGGTTTAAAAAAATTCATTGATGTTTGGTATTTAATTTTTGGATATTAACTGAACCTCAAAATTTTTTTCTTCCTTTATATGTATTCCCATATGATTGTAGGAGTCTATCCTGAATTTAGATCGTGTACATTTTGGGAACTTATTTTAGAAAAGATCTAAGTTTTAAAAATTCTCAATGGACAGACAGAGAAAAGAGGGTCTTTGCCAACTCCTTTGGGTAAGAAAACTTTAGAATTTTGCAGATACTCTAAAAATGAAGGCCAACAAACCAGGCATATCAAATTGCAAAGTTTTCAAATAAAATGATTTGTCATGATTTTTTTCTTTAGACCGCTGCAGTAAGAATGTCTTTCCCCCCTCATTTGAATCGCCCTCCCATGGGAATCCCAGCACTCCCTCCAGGGATCCCACCCCCACAGTTTCCTGGTTTTCCTCCACCTGTACCTCCAGGTAAGTTTGTGGATACTGCTGTTGTTTTTATTTTTATTTATTTATTTTTTTTAAGATTTTATTTATTTGAGAGAGAGAATGAGAGAGAGAGAGAGCATGAGAGGGGGGAGGGTCAGAGGGAGAAGCAGACTCCCTGCTGAGCAGGGAGCCCGATGTGGGACTCGATCCCAGGACTCCAGGATCATGACCTGAGCCGAAGGCAGTCGCTTAACCAACTGAGTCACCCAGGCGCTCACTGCTGTTATCTTTAACCTGTACTTTTGTCATAGCTTTTTTAGGAAAATGATACGTATGTGACTGTGTGTTAGTAGTAAAGATGTTAGTTAGCATCCTTCTGTAAATGTGGTATCTTATTATGACAGTCCTTTTCATATCTGGCTGAGTATCAAATTCATCTGGGAAGATTTTTAAGAAACACCTTTATTTAAAAAAAAATAGATAATGCATATTCCAGTAAATACATATTAACTCGTATGATTCAGTAGTTAAAAAGGTATACAGTGAAAAATTTTGCTCACATTTCCACATAACTGTTGTTACTATTCCCTTACCAAAAGAGGGAAACAAAACAGGCTCATTAGTTTATCTTTCCAGATAGTTTTTAATGCATATTACAAGCTGCTGTAAGTACATATTCTTTTTTTTTTTTTTTTTAGAGAGGGAGAGCGTGCATACATGTGAGCAAGTGAGTTGGGAGGGGCAGAGGGAGATAGAGAATCCCAAATAGGCTCCACGCCCAGTGAGGAACCTGAAAGGGGCTTGATTTTATGATCCTGAGATCATAACCTGAGCCGAAATCAAGAGTCGGATGCTTAACCTACTGAGCCACCCAGGCTGCCCCTAAATATATATTCTTTTATGTATGTTTTTTTCCCCCCCTCTTTTTTTTTTTTTAAGTTTTTTTTATTTATTTGACAGAGAGAGACACAGTGAGAGAGGAAACACAAGCAGGGGGAGTGGGAGAGGGAGAAGCAGGCTTCCCGCAGAGCAGGGAGCCTGATGCAGGGCTCGATCCCAGAACCCTGGGATCATGATCTGAGCCAAAGGCAGACGCTTAATGACTGAGCCACCCAGGCGCCCTTTAATTTCTCTTTCTTCTGTCTTGTTGTTGGTGTATAGGAATGCCACTGATTTCTGGGC